GAAGGGACCGGCCCCAGGTAAGAAAAGATTGCCGACCCCTGCTCTAGACAAACAAGCTTGTGCTAACAGTTCTATAGACAAGAACTTAGCCATATCTATGCTGGATTGACTTGATTAATTGATTGATTTACTTGACCTTTCTCCCACCTTTTTCCTACAGCTAGAGCCCAAGGGAGTTCACAACAAGATTTACAAAGCATAGGTAATGTTATAAACAGATAAAATTGGACAATATTAGAACATGATTAAATAAAGTAATAATGGAATCATAATATAAAACACCATTGATTTTTTTTAAAAATAAAATAGACCATCTTCAATAGCAGACAAATAAGGTTTTCGCCTGCTACCAGAAGGATAGGAGGTAGCCATCTTACCATAACTTGAAACAGAGATTCTCACAGCCCGGTAGCAGCCATTTGGGAAAGTTCTCTTTTGCATCTCCACCTTACTGTTCCATTGTCATGCTTTTGTTTTGACAGTGGCCAGAATAGTATCCTTCAAAAAACATTGTATCATAGAGGAAACAATTTTTCTAACCAAATGGTTTTCAAGATATATAATAGGAAATCCTAGGAATCCTCAGAAATTTCTTTGAAAATTCCTCAGTGAGAAGATTAGTAATGTTAAACTAACTTCCCTGGAAAACCGCTTTCCATCTCAACAACTTATCATTGAAATTTATAACTATAAGGGATACAGCTGAAGTTTTATCAAAGTTGCCCAATAGACATAATCAGCACATTGTGTAAATGAAACTGATGATGCTCTTGAGTTCGACAGCTGACAAAAAAGATCTTGGAGGTGAGTTTATACAAACCTTGCCCAGGTAAGGATTTGCAATGAAGGATGTAACTACACCATATCTGCCTGTGGCCATCCAGCCCCTAACATCTCTTTTAGGAGTTCTCCTGTATTTACTTGAAATCTGTTTTCCTGTTATTCAGCCCATTGGTTCCAGACATGCTCTCTAGAACTGCAGAAAACAATTCCACTCCATCTTCTGAATGACAATGTTCTGGACATTTGAAGATAACAATAATCTCTCCTTTAACTCTCCTTGTCCAGGACAAACATACTCATATGGCCAATAAAGAGAGTGACCTCTGCCTGCATTGAAGTCCCTCAGTACCATCTTAACAGACAATATCTTAGAATATATGATTTTTAACATCTTTACCAGATGAAGAAACCAATGAAACTTCAAATGCTTGCATATTTGCATACTGTAGGTATGTTCTGGATAGCACAGACTAGAGCAAAACTGGAATAGAGCATAGCTTGGGTTTACTATTGGATCCATCAGTGTGATCTCTATGACGTGAAGTGTCTTCTGGTATATTAGCTAAAACCCCTGTCTTGAGAGAGCAGTGATCCATGCTCTAAATAGCTCTATAACACATTTACATGGGTCTAAGCATGTGCTTTTTAGACTATAGTAAAGCATTTGACTGTATAGATAAAAACTATGGAATGCACACAAGGACATGGAGGTGCCAATACATTTGATAGTCCTGATAAGAAATCTGTACCAAGGACAAGAGGCCACTGTCAGAATTGAATTTGGAGGGGAAAAGTGGTTTCCAATAGATAAAGGGGTTAGGCAAGGCTGCATTCTATCACCACATTTTTTCAACTTATATACGGAAAACATCATAAGAAAGCAGAGTTAGACTCAGAAGAAAGAGGAGGAAAGATAAGAGGAAAGAACATCCACAATCTAAGGTATGCGGATGACATTATAATATTAGTGGAAGACACCACAGAGCTGGAATAGTTACTGAGAAAGATCAAAGATGAAAGTATAAAGGCAGGATATATCCTGAACATAAAGAAAACAAAAATAATGACTACAGAAGGAATACATAAATTCAATCTAGACAATGAGGAAATTGAAATTGTTAAAGAATTCCCATACCTAAAGTCAAACATTAACTAGAGTGGTGAATGCAGTCAAGGAATGGGTAGGGCAGCTATGAAAGAACTAGAAAAGATCCTGAAGAGTAAAGACATATAAATGAGGTCTAAAGTCAGAATCATCCAAGCCATTGTATTACCCATCACAATGTATGGATGAAAGAGTTGGACAGTAAAGGAAGCAAACAGAAAGAAAATCATTTGAGATGTGTTGCTGGAGAAGAGTGCTTAGGATACCATGGACAGTCAAAAAGACAACAAATGGGTCCTTGAACAGGTCAAACCAGAAATCTCCTTGGAAGCCAAGATGATCAAACTGAGGCTGTTGTACTTTGGCCACATAATGAAAAAGCATGGATCACTAGAAAAAACAATAATGCTAGGAATGGTAGAGGGAAGAAGGAGAAGAAGAGTGCATGTCAAATGGATGGACTCAATCAGGTGGGTCACAGGCATGGGTTTGCAGGGCCTGAGCAGAGAAGTGGAAGATAGGGAGTCTTGGGGGTGTCTCATCCATAGGGTTGCCATGACTCAAGTTGACTCGAGGGTAGCTAACAACAAAACCTTGGACGACAGTCTGAAAATTACAGTTTGTGTGCAATATGGCTTTGATAGTGTTAAGAAAGACTAGATGATGTATGACTATATTGCACAAGTCACATTTCTGAACCCAGTCCAAGTGTTGAGGCCTTTGATATATGATGGACCATTTCCACTTCCATGTGTCTGTTCATGCTTTGACATTATTTTTGAGATTCCTCCACCAAAATGTCTCCGTATTGTGAAGGCTGCATAGTATCTGCTATAGAGATAGCCAGAGGTCCCCCCAACTCCCATTATGGAATGTGCTTCCTAGAAAAATTTGCCAGGTGCCAACATTGTTTTCTTGCCTTCATCAGTTTAAGAGTTATTCCCCTCCCCACATCCAGGCCATTTACAGTTGTGCTATTTTAACCCTCACTGCATATTGGTATTTTAATTCCAACTGGTTAATTTTATAGCTTGGATGATTTTAAATTTTCCTTGTTTTACAAGATTTTAATCATGTTGGCTCTCTATTTTATTTTTATATTGTTATATAGCTTTGACATTACATTTTCAGATCTTGCATCATTGTCTCTTTTTAAATTTGCAGAATATCTAGGGAATTTATATTTTATAAGTAAAATATATATACTATCATGCCTTGAAATCTATTACTGTGCTTCTGTTAATGTAGCCTTGCAATGGAATCCTAACTTAAAGATAGGCTGGCTGGAATGTATTAGAATGAGGTGTAAGGCACTTGTGTCAGCTGAACTGACCCTAACCCAGTTGAACTCTCTTATCTCAGCATAACCTTCTGCTAGCTGAACTGAGATTAGCTGGCACAAGGATTGAGGTTAGCTGGTTGAAGAACCAAAGAGGAGGTGGGAAAGTGGCAGAGTGAGAGAGGAACCAAGTTAAGCCACATCCAAACCTTGTTCAGTCCAGAAACATAGCCCCTGTGTCAGCAAATAGTTAGTCCAAGGTTAGGGTTGGCCAAAGTTATTTCCAACTCATGGAAACCAATGGGAGCTTGTCAAAAATCCCAATTCATCAGCCAGAGCCACACCTATCCTGGAAAGCTGAAGGTTTGGATTGAGCACAGGGTCACCCAGCCTACGTTGCCTCAGCTGGCTTTTGACCTCTTCCTGAATTAGGATTGAACTGTTAGAGTACATGCACTTTTGAGGTAGCTACATTGTGTTCATATCAACCTTGTGCTGAACTCAACAAAGACACTTAGGGGGG